TAGGATGCTGAAGAAGACCATGAAAGAACACATCAAATGGTTTTACTGAGAAAGCTTTGTCTGCCAATGTTGTGTTTTCTGCTTCATACAATATTGCATAGTACTGGTCAGTATCAGGAATGTCTACAGTTAGCAGATATGGTATCCTCTGAGCGCCACAAACTGTATCTGGTAAGTTCCAGAGCATTGTAGTTTTAAATTTTAATGATTTTATATACTCTGTAGTAATATTTAATTTGGTGAAGATGTGTGTACATTTGTAGTTGTTCTTGAATTTTCTTAAAGTAATAGTCCAGTTTTAATGTTTGTGCTTTTTTCCCAAAATGTGTATATATTTGTAAGCAGTTAGAAATATATAGACTGACTCTGAGAAATAGCCTTGAAATTCCAGAACCACTCTAATTTGCTAGCCTCTGGCTACATAAATCTTAAAGAGGAATTTCTTCTTATATGAAGCTAATCAGATTGATTAGGTAATTATGATCATACGTGTCGTTGTTCTCATTCTTATTTCTCTTTTTAAAAATCAGGTGTTTTCTAAGGAAGAGCTAAGGAAGTTGCTGCAGAAGCTAAGAGAGTCCTCTCTAATGCTCCTAGACCAGGGACTTGACCCATTAGGTTATGAAATTCAGTTATAGTTGATCTACTCTTTGTAATCTCACTGATTTTCGTGATAAATGACGTTTTTAATAAAATATACCTGTTATTAGTAATTTTTTCTTTTGCACCATGTAAAATTTAGACATTTGAATTTTGTACTTTTCGGAATATTATGGTGACACTTTGAAAATGTAATGTATGTATATCAGTGTTTGTGCTTATTAATAAAACTATATAAAAATTAAAATTTTCTGTTTTTACAAATTCCAGGATTGTCTCTGTATCATGTAATAAGAAAATTAAATTTCCTATTCTTTTTTCTGTAAGTATTCTGATATTTTAAAATCATAAAGATTATGGAAATATTTATTTTTAAGCCACGTACATGATTTTTTATTTATCATAAAATTTAGTATTTTTTGAATATTAGAATTAAGAAGATGACTATAACAAGAATGTTTTATAATATAACATGCTATTATTATTTTAGTTATTTTGAAGACATTTCTAGTTTAGCTTTCATTTAGCAAACTTCCTATCAAAATAAGAGCATATAAAGACTTAGTATAGTACCTGGCACACAAGTAAGCCTGGAATACATTGGGGATTACAAATCCAGCTCTTCTAGTAGAGGAAATACCGTAAGTACATTTAAAAGGTGTCATTAAGAAATGAGAGTAGTGGCCGGGCAAGGTGGCTCACTTCTGTAATCCCAGCACTTTGAGAGGCCGAGGTGGGCAGATCACCTGTTGTCAGGAGTTTGAGACTAGCCTGGCCAACGTGGCAAAACCCCATTTCTACTGAAAAAAAAAATAATTAGCCAGGCATGGTGGCAGGCACCTGTAATCCCAGCTACCCAGGGGAGGCTGAGGCATGAGAATCACTTGAACCTGGGAGGCAGAGGATGCAGTGAGCCGAAATCACGCCACTGCACTCCAGCGTTGGGGATAGAGTGAGACACCGTCTACAACAAAAAAAGTACAAGTAGTCTGAGCAGGAAGACACTTATCTCCAGCTGAAAGGACTCTCAGGAAGTAGTAGTGGGTTGGGGTTTGAGCAGTGCACTGAATTTGCAAAGCAAAGAGAGGCATAAGAAGGATGAGGCTCTATAGATTAAGAAATCAGTATGAGCAAGACCTAGAAATGATAAGTGCTGGGCATTTTTATGAACCAACAAATATACCAAATAGGCTAGAGTGTAGGGCTTATAAACAGGAGACAAAAGAATGTGACTCTAATAGAAAACACCAATTCCCCAAACTGGCTAATCATCTAAGGAATTTATTGAATATGTATTTATAGATGCCACCCCTAGAGACAGCTGGCTTGGGAAGCCTGAGATGGGATCATAGAATTTGTTCAACTCTACATGATGTGCTTTTGGTGTTTTTCTTTTCTTTTCTTTTCTTTTTTTTTTTTTTTTTGAGATGGAGTTTTACTCCTGTTGCACAGGCTGGAGTGCAATGGCACAATCTCGGCTCACTGCAACCTCTGCCTCCTGAGTTCAAGCAATTCTCCTGTCTCTGCCTCGTGAGTAGCTGGGATTACAGGCATGTACTACCACTATGCCTGGCTAATTTTGTATTTTTAGTAGAGATGGGGTTTTTCCATGTTGGTCAGGCTGGTCTAAAACTCCTGACCTCAGGTGATCTGCCCGCCTCAGCCTCCCCAAGTGCTGAGATTACAGGTGTGAGCTACCAAGCCCAGCCTGTTGTTGTTTCTTTAAAGAATCCGTCTTGTCTTCCTGTTTCCTTTATTCTTACTGACATGCAAATGATCTTTATAGCTCATGCAGTCCTAGAATCATGATTGTTGCTATGCTGCTTTGCAAAAAATAATAACAAACAAAATCATACCAGAACAAATACAGACTAGATTTTGGGGGAAGGAAGAGGAAATAAGTGAGTCTTAAAAGTAATTTTGTTACTTGCAACAAACTATATATAGAGAAACTTTGTACAGCCTAGCGTGACTATTTCCAAAGACTATCACCTATTTGTTGAACCACAGTGGAAAACTACGTAGCTTAAATGAGAAGGAATATTGTATGCTTCTATGTAAATGGACAAGGTCTGTCATCTATTTAGGAACTTGTTTTGCAAGCCCCCCACTCTATCCATCTTTTGCCTTGCTTTGTTTTTTGAATGTACTTTAAAAAACAACCAAGGTTGTGGAATTCTACAACTAAGGTTGTAGAATTACAAAATTATTTCAATTTTAGACTCTTAATTAGGATGCCCTCAAATGGACTTTATTATTTACTTATTTATTTATTTATTTATTTATTTTTGAGACAGGCTCTTGCTCATCTCCCAAGCTGGAGTGCAGTGGCATGATCTTATCTCACTGCAACCTCTGCCTCCTGGGTTCAAGCAATTTTCCTGCCTCAGCCTCCCTAGTAGCTGGGATTACAGGCGCTTGCCACCATGCCTGGCTAATTTTTGTATTTTTACTAGAGAAGGGGTTTCACCATGTTGGCCAGGCTGGTCTCAAACTCCTCACCTCAAGTGATCCACCTGCCTTGATCTCCTAAAGTGCTGGGCGCATTCGGCCAAATGGAGTTATTTGAGTCCTTAGGGAGTTAGTGTATGTGTTGTTGTTTATGTAAATACAGTTCAGCTGGGGCCCCAAGAGTGCCAATGTACTCCTCACAATTCCCAGATGCCTCTGTCTTCCTGAATACCAGAAGTGGTGGGCACCTGAGTGGGAAATTTCAGGCAACTTAATTTAGTTCATCAGTGCCTACTCTATTGAAGAACTGGGTTTTCATTCTAGAGAAGAAACTCAGGGAAGGGCCTGTTTCCCATCACAGGTTCACGTAATGATTTTTTTATTTTTATTTTTATTTTTTTTTTTTTGAGACAGAGCCTTGCTCTGTCCCTAGGCTGCAGTGCAGTGGCGCAATCTTGGCTCACTGCAACCTCTGCCTCCCGGGTTCAAGCAATTCCCCTGCCTCAGCCTCCCGACATACTGATTTTTGAAAACTTTTCTTGGCGTGACTTATGCCGAGGAATTATGAGGACTTTTCCCCGAGTACTGCATGAAGGCTTTGAAGTTGGAACAGGCATGAACGTTTTAATTTCCCTGCCTCATTTATTTAATTTAGAAATGGGGGTCTCACTATGTTCCCCAGCTTCGCTTCCAGCTCCTGGGCTCAAGCAATCCTCCCACGTCAGTCTCAAATAGCTGGCACTAAAGGCCCATGCCACCATGCCCTGCTTCCTCAATTATTTTAAATTTTTGTATCATGGTCTTTCTTTTTATGACTGCTGAATTAATCCTAGAGTCTGTCTTAAAACTAAGAATTGACATATTGATAGGAAGAACTGGACATTCAAGATGTTTTAGTGATTCCTTTTTCCTCACTACTCTTGTTGCCTAGGCTGGAGTGCAATGGTGTGATCTCGGCTCACTGCAACCTCCGCTTCTTGGGATCAAGCAATTCTGCCTCAGCCTCCCGAGTAGCTGGGATTACAGGCATGTGCCACCACACCCAGCTAATTTTTGGTATTTTTAATAGAGATGGGGTTTCTCCATGTTGGTCAGGCTGGTCTCAAACTCCCAACCTCAGGTGATCTCCCTGCCTCGGCTTCCCAAAATGTTGGGATTACAGGCGTGAGCCATCGCCCCCGGCCTTTGTGATTCCTTTTTAAAAATCCCCTTTTGTACCTGTAGTATCTACAATATATAATCTTGCTCTATTCGACTTAAGGAGAAAGGAGAAAGGAAGAACCTGACTTCTGTCTGAAAGGACCTTATTGCAATGTCGATCAAGACTGTTACTTAAAGTTTTATCTCTTAGTCATTGCGCCTGACTTTACGATCCAAAACATCTATGTATGCACCCCTAGAGACAGCTGTATATATATATACAGTTATGCCAAGTTGTGCATTTCTTTCTGGAATTGTAAGTGAACACAATAGTTGCACGTTTATAATGTCAAGGGGACATCTTTACAGAGAACACATTTTCTCACTGTTGAGCTAATGCTTTGTGAATGTATGATCTAAGGAGAAACCCTTGCAGTTGTACCCGATGATGCTGTCTGTTGGAAAGTGAATTTTTAATCTTTTTACAACAATAAAAAATAAAATAAAAATATGCTTTCAGTAAATTCTTTTCCCTCTCTGGCGAGGACTAAATTTGCTTAGCATTCAACAAGGAAAATTGGCCAAAGTGTCTGCACAGCCAGAGAGAAGTCGTCTAGCAAATCGAGTCAATGACACACAGGAAACAAACGTCAAGAAAGGGGCCCTAGATTGGCCAAGTCAGGTAGGCATTAGGTGACCAGGAGGGTCGGGGACACAAAGGATGGGACACAAAGACGCAGCGTCGCGCGCCCAGGGCCCAGCGCGCCTGCGCAAGGTAACAGTCGTTCAGCCCACGGCTCGAGGGCGGAAGCGCTGGAGCTCGAGTCACGTGGTCGCGGGAGGAGATGGGCGGGGCGGGGGACGTGCCGCCGAGTCCTCGCGGGCTTAAGGGGCGGCGGCAGGGCGTGTGTCCTACCTTAAGAGTGCTACTCGCCCGAGGTCTGATCTGTGCATGCCTTTCCCGGGTCAGGCGGTGAGGTCGGCGCCTGCGAGTACGCGGCGGTGGAGAAGGGCAGCCAGCGACAGGCCAGGAGGCCCTTCGGAGGCTGGACGGCCCCAGCTTCACTGAGATCATGGCATCGCTAGTGGACCGACTGCGCGGCCACGGTCGAATCGCGGTCGGGCTCCTGTTCAACCTGCTGGTGTCCATCTGCATCGTGTTCCTCAACAAATGGATTTATGTGCACCACGGCTTCCCCAACATGAGCCTGACCCTGGTGCACTTCGTGGTCACCTGGCTGGGCTTGTACATCTGCCAGAAGCTGGACATCTTTGCCCCCAAAAGTCTGCCGCCCTCCAGGGTCTTCCTCCTGGCCCTCAGCTTTTGTGGCTTTGTGGTTTTCACTAACCTTTCTCTGCAGAACAACACCATAGGCACCTATCAGCTGGCCAAGGCCATGACCACACCGGTGATCATAGCCATCCAGACCTTCTGCTACCAGAAAACCTTCTCCACCAGAATCCAGCTCACGCTGGTAAGTAGCTTCAGCTTCTCCAGGCGCCGCCGTTCCGACCCACCTCCTGCACTGGCCCCGGGAAATTCGAACGCACACTGGTTAACCCTTCGCCACGCTCTTTCCCTTTATCTTGAAATCCACAAATGAGTCATCTGTGAGCGTGTGAACTTCAGGCCTATTTTGGGAAGGAGGAAAAGTCCATCTTGTCACTCTGTTGGGCTCTTAACCCAGAAGAGTGGGCTTATGTGAGTTTTAGTAGCTGCCATTTGATGGAAATCGTTAAATGCTGTGATCCGTAAGAAAAAAAGCTGTATTGGGTGGTACAGTCCAGTGTTATCAAAATATCTGCAAAATCTCAAACTACAAAACAGCCTTTCTCCCACAGGGGAATCAAATTGTGTATGATAAACATGAAAAGATTTAGCATAAAGTAGGTCTCAAAATGTCTGCAGCACCATTCTGCAGAGCTGTCTGCATCTTTAAATAAAAGGAGGTGGTCTCAATTTTAGAACTTAATAACTTATTATATTTAAGGTCTTTATGCTTTTATTGTTTTATATTTATGCTTATGCTGTTTAGACACTAGTTTGGGGATCCATTTACCCACCTTCATATTCTTGTGGTATTTTCTTGCACAGTGCAATGTATTTACCACAAATTTAAAATGGAATTAAATGTGAACATCAATATAGATTTATCATATTTCACGTTTAGGAAATAGGATTAACAACCAGTTTTCCCAAGTGAAAAAAGAAAACATTTATACAGGTTCATTATTTCCCAGTCATGTGTTTATGATTAGCCTTGTAAGACACTGTGAAAGGAATACTAACTTTTTGTTTCTTGAATTTAATCTGAACAACATTTACCTCTTTTTCGTTACAGATTCCTATAACTTTAGGTGTAATCCTAAATTCTTATTACGATGTGAAGTTTAATTTCCTTGGAATGGTGTTTGCTGCTCTTGGTGTTTTAGTTACGTCTCTTTATCAAGTGGTTGGTAATTTTTTTTCTTTATGTGCCTTTTTAGCAGATTTCATAAATTTTGAAGCTGTATTCCAAGGTTTAGAAAATACAGTATAGAGACAATAGACTGTTGGGAAGAAAGCATAATTGCATAAATTGTCTGACTCAAGGTGAAGAGAAGAAAGGAGACAGAGAAACTTGGGTGTGTGATGCTCACCAAATACCTACCTGTTTGTAAGTGTATAATATCCATGCTTAACAATCTCAGTTTGGGGTGAAGTTATTTTCTGGGAAATCTTTACAAAATATGTAGTAAGACTTTTTACTTCCTAAGCTTATGCTTTTTGTTTACTCTTTACTTTTGACATTGTTGTGAAGGAGTGAGTACACTTCCAGAAATCTGAGGAGGAATGAAAAATTTAGATTTTTTTGCCCCCAAAATTATACTGCTGTTGCAACATGTTTATTGGCTTTTAATAATTTACCTACTATAGATTATTTTAATATTAATATAATAATTTATTTCAATGAATATTTTACCGTTTGTGCAAGCACAGTGCCTTGCCTGTAGCAGACATTCATTAAAAATTTGTTTACAGATTCACCTACCTCGTTACCGTAAAATCCTAACAAGTAGGGTTTTTGTTTCTTATATAGTGGGGAAAAAATAACTTGCTGTAGGGGACAGTGAAGCGGTATTCTCTCTATACTGAAAACCTTGGTCTGGGAATTCTGGGTGTGCCTGCATGGGAAATCAAAGCCAAAATGTGTAACTAATTTTACTTTTTTCACAAACATTCACTGCTTATTAAACTAAGGCATTCATCTTAGTGATATTAGGAGTTCAGTAATAGAGCCCTAGCATCTTAACCATTCTAGTAGTGATAATGTCAGAGACATTGTTATGAAAATATTCTGCAATGAAATACATTTTCCAGTGACAGAAAAACAGTTTAAATAAGAGGGTTGAGCACGGTGGCTCACACCTGTAATCCCAGCACTTTGGGAAGCCAAGGCAGGCGGATCATCTGAGGTCAGGAGTTCGAGACCAGCCTGGCCAACATGGTGAAACCCCATCTCTACTAAAAATACAATGATTAGCCAGGAGTGGTGGCAGACACCTATAATCCCAACTCCTCGGGAGGCTGAGGCAGGAGAATCACTTGAACCCAGGAGGCAGAGGTTGCAGTGCGCCAAAATCATGCCATTGCAGTCCAGCCTGGGGGACAAGAGCGAGACTTCATCTCCAAAAAATAAGAAAGAAAGAAAGAGAGAAAGAGAGAGAGAGAGAAAAGAAAGGAAAGAAAGAGGCTAGTGGACATACCTATTCATCTTTCTTGTTTGTTTGAGAGGCTAGTGAACATTTCTAATCATCTTTTTTTTTTTTTTTTTTGAGACAGAGTTTTGCTGTTATTGCCCAGGCTGGAGTGCAATGGCACAGTCTCAGCTCACTGCAACCTCTGCCTCTTGGGTTCAAGTGATTCTCCTGCCTCAGCCTCCTGAGTAGCTGGGATTACAGGCATGCACCACCAAGCCCAGTTAATGTTTTTGTATTTTTAGTAGAGACAGGGTTTCTCCATGTTGGTCAGGCTAGTTTCAAACTTCCAACCTCAGGTGATCCACCCGCCTCGGCCTCCCAAAGTGCTGGGATTACGGGCATGAGCCACCACTCCTGGCCTCATCTTTCTTGTTAAGTGCACTTGTTTTTGCCTAGTATAGGCTAAATAAACAGAGCAAGAAATTGTACTCCTTATACGTAATGGATTCAGAGTACTCACCATTTATGTCACTATGACCATTTTTGTTCACACAAGTCTCAAAATTGCTATAGATTAAAATCAAAAGATTCAGTATCCCTAAGGTAGATATTTGAAATGAGATTGACCAAGGAATGGCTGTAGACTAATGGACAATTTCTTATCAGTAAATGGTAAAGGTATTACTACAAAATACGTATATTCCCGAAACATTCCTCTCAAAGTTGTATCTGCCCACTATATCTTGGCATAATTTCTGTGTTGCTTCTCTTACACCACTGGAGACATTAAAAGGAGTTAAAAGACGAGTGATAGTTATTAGCTTGAGTTGTAGAAGATGGTTGACTCATTCATTCATTCAGCAGACATCTTTTCTGTGTTATGTTCACCCTTGAGGATACAAAGATGAAAAGCAGCTACAGTCCAGCAGTGTAGAAACACATGGTGGCAGCTGGTAGCGTATGTACCCCAAGGTAGGAGGAAAGTTCTGAGGAACACCAAGGAGGAAGTGGCAAGAGGGGCGGTGAGGTAACACTTTAGGGGAAAGTGCACAATTTAAATTGAAGGACGCACAGAAATTAGCTCAGCAGTGAAGGACAGCTGATCTTTTCCTTGCAGTGTGTGTGAAAGTCTGGAGCATTTCTGGAGAACTTGATTTGTTTGGTGAGGCTAGGCAGTAGGTGCATTGTGGGAAGACAAGGCTGAGAAGTGGGTGAGACCAGATGTCAGGATTATGAAGCCATGCTAAGGAAGTGTATCTTTTTTTTTTTTTTTTTTTTTTTTGAGACAGTCTGCTCTGTCGCCCAGGCTGAAGTGCAGTGGCACAATCTCAGCTCCCTGCAACCTCCGCCTCCCAGGTTCCAGTAATTCCCCTGCCTCAGCCTCCCGAGTAGTGGGATTATAGGCATGGACCAGCATGCCCAACTAATTTTTGCATTTTTAGTAGAGACAGGGTTTCACCGTGTTGGTCAGGCTGGTCTCAAACTCCTGGCCTCATGATCCGCCTGCCTCAGCCTCCCAAAGTGCTGGGATTACAGGCGTGAGCCACTGCACCCGGCCGGAAGTGTGTCTTTATTGAGCACGAACCAAGAGAGCAGTTCAGACAGGGACTGACTTGATCATTCCCGTTTTTTGTTTTCTTTTTTTGAGATGGAGTTTTGCTCTTGTTGTCCAGGATAGAGTGCAATGGCGCAATCTCAGCTCACCGCATCCTCCACCTTCCAGGTTCAAGTGATTCTCCTGCCTTAACCTCCCGATAACTGGGATTACAGGCATGCACCACCAGGCCCAGCTAATTTTGTATTTTTAGTAGAGACAGGGTTTTTCCATGTTGGTCAGGCTGGTCTTGAACTCCCAACCTCAGGTGATCCGCCCACCTGAGCCTCCCAAAGTGCTGGGATTACAGGTGTGAGCCACCACGCCTGACCGGTCATTCTCCTGGTTTAAGAAGAATAACTAGTAGCAATGAAGGGTGGGTAAGAGGGAAGGATGAAAGGCAGAGCAGTCAGGAACCTGTGCTTCAAGGGGCAGTCAGGAAGGGCCTGGGCCAGGGCAGTGAGAATGGCTAGGGAAAGGTTAAAAGGTACTCCAGGGGCATTTTGGAGAACACGTGGCAGGACCTGACTGAATGTGAGAGTGGGGAAAGGAAGGCTTTTATCCCTGATGGAGATTGTATCATCAATTATTGCAACCATACAAGAGGAGCCATTTGTGGAAGGAAGGCACCAGTTGATTTTAAACAAATTCCTGCAGATTATGTAAGTAGAGATGGCCAGGAGACTGTGGCCGATATAAGGTTAAGGATGCTCAAGTGATGAGGGAAGAGCAGTAGATCTCAGCAAATAGTAAAAGACATCAGTCAGGGCAGTGAAAGAGGAAGGCAGACGTCTGCCTTAAAAACTGTAAGTGCAGGAGGTGGTGAGGGAGGAATGCAAACCAGAGAGTAGTTCTTCCACAGGAAACTTGCAGGTTTTGCAAGGAGGTCCCACAGGAAGAGCCACAGGGAGTCTGGACATGGCCATGGAGGTCATGGTGCCCTTAAAAGAGCATTAGAGGGGTGGCAGCAGGAGCCAGGCTGTGCAGCATTGAGGTACAGTGGAGGCCTGAGAGCCCCTGCTGTTCCAGGCAGTCCCTTGGCTGAGACACACAGCTGCCTAGAGAGGTTGCGAAAGAAAAGGGGGGTGAGCACCCACCCTCTGTATCCGTTTTTGCTCACTGCTGTGCCCGGAGAAGCAGGCAGCAGAAGAATCAGTTCTTTGTGCTTCATATTCACAGAGGACTCTTAGTTAAAGCTGGCAGGAGTATGGTTCAAATTCCCTGCCCTTCTATTTTTGTCTTGATGAATTTCTATAGACTTAGAGTTTATGTAACAAGATACCCAAACCTACAGGAAAAAGAGATATGTAGAAGTCATTCAAAAGCCTGGCTGTTCTTGCCAGATCTGATCCAAACAGTCCTGTTAAAGCTTCTTCAAAGCCCCTTTTTCAGTTATATTTGTGAAGCATTTTCTGGACAGATGGGATTTGAGGTCTTGAGATGTTGTTTCTACTGAATGGCAGGGTATTTTAGGGTTAGTGATTATCTAATGTATCTAGGTGTATTGGTGGGGGATGAGGAATAGGATCCACAGAAAAGTCATCCAGAGAGAGGAAAATTTCTTCTACCATTGATTGGGTTTTCCAAAGCAACTGACAAGACCACATACCTTTCAAGCCACATGCATTTGCAGCCACCTCTAACCTGCCCCATGCCCCATTGTCATCCTGTCACCCTAACCTCTGTCTTCCATTGTTTTTTTTTTTTTTTTTTTTTAGATAAAGTCTTGCTCGGTCGCCCAGGCTGGAGTGCAGTGGCACGATCTCGGCTCACTGCAACCTCCGCCTCCTGGGTTCAAGTGATTCTCTTACCTTAGGCTCCCAAGTAGCTAGGACCACAGGCGCACACCACCACGCAGGGCTAATTTTTGTATTTTTAGTATTTTGTATTTTTAGAGATGGGGTTTCACAATGTTGGCCAGGCTGGTCTCAAACTCCTGGCCTCATGTGATCCACCCACCTCAGCCTCTCAAAGTGGTAGAATTACAGGCATGAGCCATTGCTCCTGGCTCCTGTCTTCCATTTTAAAATTTTTGCAATTTTTAGAAAGAAACAAAGTCTGACACTGCATCTGTATTCCTAATCACCTAAATTTCCATTTTTCCCTTATTTTCCTAAGATCTTTTATCCTTATAGGCCCTTATATGCATTTACTTTTCCCCATTTACTAAGATCAGGTAGAAGGAAATAGAGAACTTTTCTCCCCCTTCTAAGAATTGGGAAGAAACTAGATTATCAGAAATTAAATTTATAGAGCTCTTTTTATCCAAGGCGCTTAGAGGGCATTCATATGGCTTGCTGGTCTTTGAAATCCTGTAGAATAATTAGGCATTTTTTCTTCCTCTAGTCTGTTACCCCACATTCCCATCTTTGTGATTCTAGTTGTCACATCTTTGATTAAGTGATGCTATTTTTTTTGTACCTGACATGTTTTATCTCCCAATTTTCAGTGGGTAGGAGCCAAACAGCATGAATTACAAGTGAACTCAATGCAGCTGCTGTACTACCAGGCTCCGATGTCATCTGCCATGTTGCTGGTCGCCGTGCCCTTCTTTGAGCCTGTATTTGGAGAAGGAGGAATATTTGGTCCCTGGTCAGTTTCGGCTTTGGTAAGTTCTAATTGTTTTGATGTCTAAACAAAGTATAATAATAATCCCTCCATTATTAATGTCATTTTTAGTTTTCAGAGCACTATCTCAAATCCATTCTCACATTTACTCTTTATAATTACCATGTAAGGAGGTAAGGTAAGGATTATTTTTCAGATGAAGAAACTGACGCACACAAAGATGAAGGGACTTGCCTAGAGTGAGCAGCTACTCAGTGGTAAAAGCAAAACTATAGTTCATGTCTTCTGATGTCTGGTTACTGTTCTGACCGTGTCAAGCTAGAGCCCACAAATAATTTGGAAATGTAAATTAGAATTTTTTATAATGAAAATATAGCTTTATAATCATTATATCGATTTTGAACATACATACAAATATAAAGAAAGTAAAGGACAGCCATGGTGGCTCACTCCTGTAATCCTGGCCTTTGAGAGGATGAGGTGGGCAGATCGTTTGAACCTAGGAGTCTTAGACCAGCCTGGGCAACATAGGAAGACCTCATCTCTATAAAAAAATTTTAAAAGTGGCTGGGTGTGCTCGCTCATGCCTATAATCCCGGGACTTTGGGAGGCTAAGGCAGGTGGATCACAGGAGCTCAAGGGTTCAAGACCAGCCTGGCCAACATGGCGAAACCCAGTCTCTACTAAAAATACAAAAAAGTTAGCTGAGTCCAGGCGTGGTGGCTCCTGTAATCCTAGCACTTTGGGAGGCCAAGGCAGGCAGATCACATGAGGTCAGGAGTTCTAGACCAGCCTGGCCAACATGGTGAAACCCTTCTTTACTAAAAATACAAAAATTAGCCAGTTGTGGTGGCACGCACCTGTAGTCCCAGCTACTCAGGAGGCTGAGGCACAAAAATCGCTTGAACCCATGAGACAGAGGTTGTAGTGAGCTGAAATTGCGCCATTGCACTCCAGCCTGGGTGACAAAGTGAAGCTCTGTGTCAAAAAAAAAAAAGAAAGAAAATTATCTGGGCTTGACGGCATGTGCCTGTAATCTCAGCTACTTGAGAGGCTGAGGCACAAGAATTGCCTGAACCTGGGAGGTGAAGGTTGCAGTGAGCCATGATTGTGCCACTGTACTCCAACCTGGCTGACAGAGCAAGACTTTGTCTCAAAAAAAAAAACAAACGATCAAAACATTAGCCAGGTATGGTGGCATGCACCTGTCGTCCCAGCTACTTGGGAGGCTGGGGTAGGAGAATCACTTGAGCCTAGGAGGTCAAAGCTATAGTGAGCTAAGATAGTACCACTGCATTTCAGCCTGGGCAACAGAGGGAGACCCTGTCTCAAAAAAAGCCAAACTAAAACAACAAAAGTAGCAACAACAAAAGAAAGTGAAGGGCCCCTGGAATCCTGTCACACTAAGGCAATCACCTTTACCATTTCAGTGAGGATTATTTCATGGATCTCTTTTGTATATACATTTAGGTACACATGCACATGTGCGTATAACTTTAGATACTGGAATTATATCATAGATGCTGTTTTTATTGTGGATTCCTCTTCCCCAGCCTTTCTACCCACACACTTTTCCACATTCCATTACCCCCCATCCATGCCCCTTGAAACCATGTTAACATTCTAGTGCTTGTTCTTCCATATTTTTCTCCATGCCGTATATATCCATATAAACACACACACACACACACACACACACACACACACACACACACACACAATCTCAATTACATATCTGTTTCTTTGACAAAAGTGGAATTCTATTACATATGCATTTCTGTATCTTGCTTTTCTGACTTAATAATATCTCCTAAAAATCTCTCCAAAGCATTCTTTTCAGCGTCTGTATGTTTTGTTGTTGTTGTTTTGTTTTGTTTTGAGACAGAATCTCACTCTGTCACCCACATTATGGTGCAGTGGTGTGATCTCTATTCACTGCAACCTCCACCTCCTGAGTTCAAGTGATTCTTGTGCCTCAGCTACCCGAGTAGCTGGAATTACAGGCGTGCACCACCATGCCTGGCTAATTTTTTTGTATTTTTGGTAGAGATGGGGTTTCACTATGTTGGCCAGGCTGGTCTTGGCCTTCTGATCTCAATCGGTCTGCCCGCCTCGGCCTCCGAAAAGTGCTGGGATTACAGGCATGAGCCACCGTGCCCGGCCAGTGTCTGTATAATAGTCCCTTTGCATATTCACTTTTTTTTTTCAGTTCTTGACCACTATGAACAATATTGTGATAAACATCATTTTATATCATGTGTCCTCATGTACTGATACCTTTTTTCTTATGGAAATGAGTCCCAGGAGTGGAATTGGCAAATCAAGGGCTTATGTATTTTGGGGACTTTTAGTTTTCAGAGACAGGTTCTGGCTATGTTACCCAGGCTGGCCTCAAGCTCCTCAGCTCAAGTAATTCTCCCACCTCAGCCTCCCCAGCAGCTGGAACTAATGCTTTGGGGACATTTTAAGTTAGAATGTATAATCCTTCTATATCTTAATCAGTTGAGGCTGCTATAACAAACCTACAGTGGGCTGGGTGGCTTTACAAATACTAATTTCTCACAGTTCTGAGTCTGGAAGTCTGAGATCAGGCTGCCAGCATGGTTTGGTTCTTGGTGAAGACCCTTTTCTCACTTTATAGATGGCAGTCTTCTTGCCGTATCCTCATCTGACAGAAAGGAAGAGGAGAAAAAGCTCTCTTTTATCTCTTCTTATCTTAGGGACTAATCCCATTCATGAAGGCTCTACCCTTATGACATAGTCACCTCCTGAAGGCCCCACCTCCCAATACTATTACATTGGAGGTAAGGATTTCAACATGTGAATTTTAGGGGGACACAAACATTCAGTCCATAACACCTTACTTATCAGGAATTCCTGCTTCCCACAAGAGTTCCCACAACTTTTGAAACACAGTCAATGGGAATGTCTTTTTTGTTGGTATATCAATTTATCAAGCACTTATATAGCCCTTAGTCTCTTGCTTGCACTATTCAAAGCTCTATGTAAATATTAACTTATTTAATCTTTATAATTTTATTAGGTTGATACTATACTAATACTATTTGTATTGGTCCATTTTGTGATGCTATAAAAGAATACCTGAGACTGAGTAATTTATAAGGGAAAGGGGTTTATTTTGGCTTATGGTTCTGCACAAGAAGCATCAGTGCTGGCATCTATTTCTAGTGAGGGCCTCAGGAAGCTTACAATCATAGTGGAAGGCAAAAAAATGGGGAGCAGGCACGTCAGTCACATGGCGAGAAAGGGAGCAAGAAAGAGAGGGGAGGAGATGCCGGTCTCTTTTAAACAACTAGCTCTCATGAGAACTAATGGAGCAAGAACTCACTCATTACCCTGGGGAAGGCACTAGGCCAGTCATGAGGGATCCACCCCCATAACCCAAACACCTTCTGCTTGGCCTCACCTCCAACATTGGTGATCAAATTTCAACATGAGATTTGGAGGGAACAGACATCCAAACTATATCACTATTATTATTTTTTTTATTGATAAGGAAACCAAGAGATAGAGAGTTAGTAACTGACTCGTGATCCCACAGCTAATAAGCAGAGCCACAATTTGGATCCATGCATTCTGGCTCCAAAGTCTGTATTCTCCAGTGCTCCACTCTGCTTCCTGTAAGTAGACCAGTAGTTGTTTCAAATTCATATATTTTACCATGTATACTTTTTTCTAAAGTAGAGGTCATTGGACCATCTCTCAGATAATATTTCCACTTACTTTACAAAAGTCCTAACCATCCTGGTTATCTTGTTTCAAACCATTACAGCCTAGACACCTTATGCTACAAAGAGAGAGGATTTTTTTGGTAGCTTTCTGACAGGTTTTAAAAAGACGACAGCAGCAGAAAAGCCATTTTAAAAAATGCCAGTACAGTGGCTCACACCTGTAATCCCAGCACTTTGGGAGGCTGAGGCGGGCGGATCACGAGGTCAGGAGATTGAGACCATCCTGACTAACATAGCGAAACCCCATCTCTACTAAAAATACAAAAAATTAGCCAGGCATGGTGGCAGGTGCCTGTAGTCCCAGCTACTCAGGAGGCTAAGGCAGGAGAATCGCTTGAACCCAGGAGGCAGAAGTTGCAGTGAGCTGAGATCATGCCACTGCACTCCAGCCTGGGCAACACAGCAAGGCTCTGTCTCAAAAAAACAAAAAAGTCAAAGAAACCAAGACCACAGCAGGCTGAGTCCATTTAGTGTGAGGGAAAGTTACCTTCATTCCTTAATGTCCCTAGAAGGCATCCTTGACTCAAAGTAGAGCATTATGTCAACCAACTTCTTTTTTTTTTCCATATAAAGCCAGCATTATACTAATACCAAACCAGAAAAGGACACAACCAAAAAATAAAACTACGGACTGATCGTTAGATAGCTTTGATGGATATAGATACTAAAATCTTAAACAAAATACTAGCTAACTGAATCCAATGACATATCAAAAGAAAATCCACAATGATCAAGTAGATTTCAAACCAGGGATGCAGGGATGGTTTAACATAAACAAGTCAATAAAAGTGATACACCACGTACACAGAATTAAAAACAAAAATCACATGAGCATCTCAATAGATGCAGAAAAAGCATTTGACAAAATCTAGCATCTCTCTATGATTAAAACCCTCAGCAAAATCGACATACAAGGGACATACCTTAATATAATAAGAGCCAGCTGCGACAGACCCACAGCCAACATAATATTGAATGGGGAAGGGTTGAAAGCATTCCCTGTGAGAACGGGAACAAGACAAGGATGCCTACTCTCACCACTCCTCTTCAAAGTTAGGGACTTTGAAGAATATAAGGAATATAAAGTTTTTCATAAAACCAACTTCTTTATATTCCTCAGAGTCCCTAAAAAAGTAGAGTAATTTTGTTTTTAATGATGTACCAAGTATCAAGAAATAGGTATGTAGCGTTCTGTGAACTCAATAAAATTAGCAATGATATATTTTAGATATATTTCTAGAAACTTTTTAAAATCTCTAAGAAAATTTCTCTATGTTGACTATTCAACAGACCTTCTGTTGTAAATTACATGAGGTATTACTATATTTACCTAAGTAAGACACAAATCCAATTCCTCTGGCCTTCTTAAGACTGCACTGATGTTAAAACTGACAAAACCTACAGGGGGCTGGGCACAGTGGCTCATGCCTATAATCCCAATGCTTTGGGAGGCCAAGGTGGGAGGATCACTTGAGCCCAGGAGTTTGAGACCAGCCTGGGCAACATGGTGAAAACCTGTCTTTACAAAAACAAAACAACAAAACCCTGCTTGGGACAACAAGCATCTTCAAATATGACATGTTTTCTTTGGAACTTTAATTTATTAATAGTTTAGATCATGAATATTATTTTATCTAAATTCTATAACTTTTTGGATAAAATCATGGGATAGATTTGAACTGAATATTCTATGTGTAGATAGTGGTACAACCCATTTGTCCCCCTGTGCTCAGCCAAGCTGGTTTATTTTCTATCCCTTCTGGGATATTGTACTTTCATACCCCTACACTTTGACCTCTGCTGTTCCCTCTACTCGGAACCCTACCCCCTCTTCTTTTATTTTATTTTATTTTTTAATTTTTTAATATTGAGACAGGGTCTTGTTATATGTTACCCGTGCTGGTCTCGAACTCTTAAGCTCAAGTGATCTGCCTCCCTTGGCCTCCCAAAGTGCTGGGCCTACAGGCGTGAGCCACCATGCCCAGCCCACCCCATCTTCTTTAATCTGCACATACTTTTGAGATTTAAAAGCTTTTCCCTCTCTCCATTTCAGCCCACATGATCTCTTCTGCTTTGAGATTCATATCTATTGTCTATTTGCCTATGAATGACATAGAACCCAGGACTCATTTTCTTTTACTGTCTGAGCTGTAATTCTGATGTTGCACTGTCTTTCTTGTGATTGAGAGGTAGTATGGAGTAGGTTAAGAGGAAGGAGTCCAGAACCAGACTACTTGGGCTTAAATCTCAGCACTGTCATTTACTAGCTGTGTGATCTTAGGCAAATTACTTTACCTCTCTTTTTTAATCTATAAAAAGGAATAATATTTTTTCAACTACTTCGTGGATGTATGTGAAAATTAAATGAGTGACTATATGTAAAACAGAACAATTATTGGTGCATAAAAAGTGTTCTGTAAGTGTAAGCTGTGATCACGATTATGTCCTCAAGTGATTTCTAAGCTCTTTGAGGGCAGGAACTTTGTACATATTGTGTTCCTCACAAGGCCTGCCCTAACTTTGTAGATATCTAATGAAAGTTTACTGAGCTAAATAAGACTGAAAAATGAGGTCAGATGCAGTGGCTCACCCCTGTAATCCCAGCACTTTGGGAGGCCAAGATGCGCAGATCACCTGAGGTCAGGAGTTCAAGACCAGCTGGGCCAACATGATAAAACCCCATCTCTACTAAAAAATACAAAAAAAATCAGCTGGGCATGGTGTCACTGGCTTGTAATCCCAGCTACCTAGGAGGCTGTGGCAGGAGAATCGCTTGAACCTGGGAGGCGGAGGTTGCGTGAGTTAAGATCGCACCACTGCACTCTAGACTGGGTGACAGAGTGAGACTCCATCTCAAAAAAAAAAAAAAAGAATAAAAATGAGTAATTCAATGGAAAAAGACCTGGAAGGATATATGCCAAGATGTTAATGTGTGGGTGGTTGGAATTATAAGAATTCCTTATATTATTTTCGCTTGTCTTTATTTTCTGATTCATAATAGTGCGTATGTATACTTTTTCTTTAGATTAATGAGAAAAATGAGCCTGGAAATTGACAGTCACAGAAAGGATGTTATGCAGTATTTTTCATTTTTTCTTGTGTAAAAATTGTATTTTTTCTAAACACTGTTCATTCTGCTCCTTTACTTGCAATTCTACTGTCTCCCAAACTCTCTTTTTAATCTTATTTATTAATGGTTGATATTTGAATGTTTTTTAAGATGCCTAATGAAATGTATCTTTGCTTGTTAATTATAATGATTAATTATAATTAATCATTATAATGATTATAATGCATTATAATGCAGTGCTTTGCATTAATGGTTCTTTTGGTTTATTTTAGCTTATGGTGCTGCTATCTGGAGTAATAGCTTTCATGGTGAACTTATCAATTTATTGGATTATTGGGAATACTTCACCTGTCACGTATCCTTTTTATACAACTTTCAAATGCATCATCTTTTGTATCTTCCAAAACTTTCACATTTATTACCTTATTTGAATCTCACACTATTGCATGGTCTAAATTGAGTAGAGAGAGTTATGTTTAGCCTTTTACTGTATCTTTACACACTAAAGGATTTTAAAGAAATATGAACTGAAAGGGCGAGTGTGGTGGCTCACACCTGTAATCCCAACACTTTGGGAGGCTGAGGTGGGTGGATTGCTTAAGGCCAGGAGTTCAAAATCAGCCTGAATAACATGGTGAAACCCCATCTCTACAAAAAATACATAAATTAGCTGGGTAAGGTTGTGCACACCTGTAATCCCAGCTACTCTTGAGGCTGAGGCACAAGAGATGCTGGAACCAAGGAGTTGGAGGTTACAGTGAGCCAAGATTGTGCTACCACACTCCAGCCTGGGCAACAAAGTGAGAAGACTCTGTCTCAAAAAAAAAAAAAAAAAAGGGTTAGCTTCTTGTGTCATGAATGTTTTTGAATTTTCTTATGTAATAGGTGACCTTTTCCCTTGCAAAAATTAACTAAGAATACCGTTTCTTACAGACAGGGCAATTAAATAAATATTTTTTGAATGAGTAGTGAGGTAGAGGTCTGGATTTTCAAACAATTTTCAAGTATTTATATTAACAAAGTAGAGGAATCGTTAACAAATAACAAAAGATAATTTTAGGCCACTGGCATCTGGCTATGGAGTATGTATTTGTACTTACTTGGATATGGGTGTACCTGTTTTTCTCAATATTATTTCAAGTCAAGAAATGAAGTCATTGGCTGGGTGCCATGACTCACGCCTATAATTCCTACACTGTGAGAGGCCAAGGCAGGAGGATCACTTTGGCCCAGGAGTTTGAGACCAGACTGGGCAACGTAGGGAGACTCTATCTCTACCAAAAACAAAAAAGAAAAAGAAGGAAGTCACAAGTTAAAGGTCAAATTCAACTGTCCATTTACACCATTCTGCCTGTCATTCTGTTTCTCTTCACATTTCACTTTGCCCCCACCCTTAGGCAAATGCAAAGAATGAATTTCTCCAGGAAGTAAATAAGTAGGATATTAGCCAGCTATCAATGAAAAACAACGATAAGTTTTTTGGAAAACCAATACTTAACAACTCTTTATTTTGCGTCAGATACTGCTAGAAACATTTTGTGTATCTTAGTCCATTTAACTCTCACAGCAGCTCTGTGAGGTAAAGTCCGTCATTTTAGTTTCTAGAAGAAATAGAGGCACAGAGAGGTTAACTCATTTAAGTCCACACAGATGACAAATGGGATGTCCAGATTTGAACCCATGCAGTCTAGTCCCAAAATTTGTACATCATGCTACCCAAACAAGGCATCCAAATATGTGCTCTGATTAAAAACATTCATTTATTCAATAAATATTTATTGAATACCCACTAAACCATTCATTGATTTTAAAATATTTATGTACTGAACATTCTACTCTATGCCAGGCACCAGTGATGCAGTAATGAACCGCACAGACAAAAGTCTTTACTCTCACAGCCTTAAATTCTGGTGAGGAAGTCTAGAAATAGAAAACAATTAAATATTTATCTGCAGTATAGGATGGTGTTAACTGCCAAGGAGTAGAAGTAAAGGAGGGAAGAGAATGTGAAATGTTGTAGACAGTGTTGAAGTCCTAGGCAGGGCTAGTCAGGAAGGCCTCAGTGGGAAGGTGACATTTGAGTAAAGACCTGAAGGAAATGTGGTTGCTCCGTGCAGATCAGGAGGGAAGAACATTCCAGGCAGAGGCAACAGCAGGTGCAAGGCCCTAAAAGAAAAACAAGGAAGCCTGTGAGGTTGGAGCAGGTTGAGCAAAGGAGAGAATGTGGTAGGCTGAGAAGTAACACGGAACTGAATCTAGTAGGGCCTTTATGTAAAGACTGTTACACTGAGTAAGATGGGAAGCCATTAGCATTTTGAGCAGAGAAATGACATGATTTTACTTACGTTCTAATACACTCACCCAGTGGGCCAGGTGCGGTGGCTCATGCCTGTCATTCCAACACTTTAAGAGGCCAAGGCAGAAGGATCACTTGAGCCCAGGAGTTCAAGACCAGTCTGGGCAACATAGCAACACCCTGTCTCTACAAAAAGTTTTTTAAAACAAAATAAATAATAGAGTCACTCAGGGCTCCTGTGTTGAGAATAGACTAAAGAAGGATTTCTCAACCTCTTGGCTGTTGACTTTTTGGGCTAGATGGTTCTTACTGCAGGCCTGTTTAATACACTGTAGGATGTTTTCAGCATGCCTGGGCTTTACCACTAGATGCCAGCAGCATACATACCCTTTGCCCAATTGTGACAACCAAAAATGCCTCCAAATACTGCTCACAAAGCAGAATCACTCATGGTTGGGAACTAGTAGACTGAAAGAGGCACAGGAAACTGTCAGAAGACTGCTGCAGTATTCTAATTTAGAAGTAACAGTGGTTACCAGGATGGTAGCAGTGGACACAGTGAGAAGTTATTGGATTCTGGATATATTTCTAAGAAGAGCCAACAGGTTTTGCTGCCTCGTTGGATGTGGAGAAAGAAAACAAGGCTGATTCACATGATTTTTGGCCTGAGCGTCTGGTACAATGGAGTTGCCATCAACTAAGATAGGATAGCCAGAAGGAGGTTTGGGGCTGGGGAGGAAGATCAGGTGCTCAGTTTGGGGAGTATTTTTTTGTTGTTGTTTTTGAGACAGAGTCTTGCTCTGTCACCCAGGCTGGAGTGAAGTGGCATGATTATGGCTCCCTGCAGCCGTGAACTGTTGGGCTTGAGCAGTATTCCCACTTCAGCCTTCTAAAATGCTGGGATTACACATGTGAGCCACCACGCCCGGCCAGGTGCTCAGTTTTGGATAAACAAGTCTGAGGGTTCAAAGGCAATGTCTCGGCAGGAGGCGTCACAGGGAGTCAGCAGTGAGAAGCTGTGATTTAAAGTGGCGAGACTGGTTGAGGTTACCAAGCACACAAGTAGAAGAAAAGGAGTCCAAAGATTGAGAGTTGGGTTTGAGTCCAGTGTTTGGAATTCAGAGAGATGAGAGGAACTAGGTAAAGGATGAGAAGGAACAGTCAGAGGTAGGAAGGAGGAGAGTGGCACAGAACCCCAGTGAGGAGGAGGAGGGGTTGGGATCTGTGTCCGATGCCACTGGCAGGCCAAGTTCAGGGAGACTGGTCACTGATGAAGGGCTGAGTGAGGTGGAGGGCACTGGGTTTGGCCAGAACATTCTGAGGGTTGGGGTGACAGCTTTCCTGGAGTAAAGTGCAGAACTGGAAATACTACATGTAGACTGCTCTTTTTTTGTCATTTTTACAGAAGGATTCATGAATAGTTTCTTTAAATTTGCCTTCCTTCTAGTATAAATACACTTAAAAGAGAAGCCGAGGAGTAAAGAAATTTAAAGTGCACATGAAGAAAGCTCATAATTGAAAATAAAACATATTTTATTTTGATTATTGCCAGTAACCTTGGGAAGATCTTCTGTGGCTCAGGAAGTCACCTCCATGGGATCAAGCTAGCACACGCACCTGGTGACATAGCCCGTGCTCTCCTGAGACACTGCCTCTGCTCAGCGGGGACCTCCAGGCTGCTTGGAAGGGCTTGGAGGTCAGACAGGTCCAGGTGTGAGCACTGAGCTCTGCCACTACCTGTGGGCCTGACCTAGTGTGGGAACTCTCAGGGTCTCACTTTGATTACTTAGGAAATGTATGAAGTGGAGGAAGTAGGATCTATGATGTTGGGTGGTTCTATTTGAGAGAATGTGTCAGGCGCCTGGCAGGTGTTTCTGACACATAAGTACTGCTGTTGGTAACTGTTATTGTAGCTAGCACATACGGTGCTTACTATATGCTAGAAGCTTTGTGTATATTATTTAGTCCTTACAATAACCGTGGGAAGTATTATTTTGCCCCTCTTTTATAGTGAGGAAACAGACACAGAGTGGTAGCTGTTTCTAGTGTTGTAATTAGGAAAAGCACATAGGCACACATCATACATCTGAAGAACAAGAGAGCACTCATTTATATAGAAAAAATAATTATATTTAAATATAAGTAATTTTAAAAGGTGTACATGTATTTAGTTTGCTTTTTAAATGAATGATGATTTGGAAAAACGTTAATGCAGTGGCATGTTACTGGAGGTATATTGGATTAGAACATGGACTTTGGAGTTAAATAGGCCCATTTATGTTTGGACTCCAACTCTGCTACTTAATAGCTCTAATCTGGGGCATGCTACTTAAAATCTCTGAGCCTCTACAACTGTAAATAGGAAGAGTGAGCTTGCAGTGAAGGTAAACGTGATGCCTAACTCAAGATGATTTCACGTAAATCACCCAGCATGGGGTTTGGCGTGTAGTTGGTGATCAGTGTGACCCCTTTTCCCTCCTGAACTCAAGTGAGCTCTCTGGTACCTTATATATGTCACCTTATTTGCCAAGGAAACGCCACTACAAAACATAAATTGCTGTACAAAATATCTTCCCTGGACCTTGTTCTGATTGTCTTTCCTTTTATATTGTATCCTTTTCTCTTCTTTGGAGGTCAGTAGGAATGGCTGAGGCAGTGTTGTGTCTCTAATTGCTAAAACCTACCTGAAGAAACTAAGAAGTTCCCATTATTCCTTGTTTTTGAGATAGTCTTGCTCTGTCGCCCGGACTACAGTGCAGTGGTGTAATCTTGGCTCACTGCAACCTCCACTTCCTGGGTTTAAGCGATTCTCGTGCCTCAGGCTCCCAAGTAGCTGGGATTATAGGCGTGTGCTACCACGTCCAGCTAATTTTTGCATTTTTTGTAGAAACAGGGTTTCACCATGATGGCCAGGCTGATCTCAAATTCCCAGCCTCAAGTGATCCACCCACCTCAGCTTCCCAAAGTGCTGGGATTGCAGGCGTGATCCACCATGCCTGGTCCCATTGTTCTTTATGTGGGGTGGGTTGCTGTTGGCTGTTGAGTTGTTTTATGCATTATGTGTGTGTGTGTGTGTGTGTAAATATAACATCTATCTTGTTATTCCTTTTTATCCTTATCCAAAAACCTCAGCTATAACATGTTTGGACACTTCAAGTTCTGCATTACTTTATTTGGAGGATATGTTTTATTTAAGGATCCACTGTCCATTAATCAGGCCCTTGGCATTTTATGTACATTATTTGGCATTCTCGCCTATACTCACTTTAAGCTCAGTGAACAGGAAGGAAGTAAGAGTAAACTGGCACAACGTCCTTAATTTGTTTTTTGCGAAGAAAAGAATGTTGTCCCAAGAAGATAAAAAAATATTAAGTGTGCAAGTTACTAAAAAAAAAAAAATGGTGACCGATTCAATGATTGAATGATTTGTAAGGATTAACACAAAGGAAATTTTATTCATAAAATGACTTTTTTTGGTCTCTTTTTAAAAAAAACCTTACTTTTCTAAAACCAAAATGGTTCATCCTTCTTTTCAAAGATGATTATATGAAATGTATGGGATGGTTAGCTGGGTGTGGTGGTGCACGCCTGTAATCCCAGTGACTTGGGAGGCTGAGACAAGAGAATCGCTTGAACCTGGGAGGCGGAGATTGCAATGGGCCGAGATCGCACCACGGCACTCCAGCCTGGGTGACAGAGCAACTCTGTCTCTCTAACTCTCTCTCTCTCTCTCTCTCTCTCTATATATATATATATATATATATGTGTGTGTGTGTGTGTGTGTGTGTGTGTGTGTGTGTGTGTGTGTATATGTGTATGTATATATGTGTATGTGTAAATATACATATATATACACACATTTATATATACACACACATACATATATTTGTATATAAACCATCCCATATAGATATATGTGGGAGATATATATATATGGATATTATAGAGAGGATGGTTTGGTTATTCCAAGCAAAGCACATGAAAATTAAAGTTCTATGATAATGACAAAGGAATTGCTGTTGCTGTACTGGAAATGTGCTGTGGGTTCTCAGTGTTCATACTCTTCTAAGGAAGGACACACAGTAGCTCTCTGCTTGCTGATAGATGGTTTCCCAGTGTGAGATTTGTTATTTGGATCAGAGTATTCAAATCAGAATTTAAATCTAGCGTTTCTATTTTAGTTTAGCTTCCTGATGATTTATAGAAATGAAATCTCATTTATAAAGTATAATAAAGATGACTGTAAGACAAAATCCAATTCTAAAAGTATCATCTTTTTTCTAGTAGAAAATTGATGTAGGAAATCATACATTATTCATACATTTATAGGTCATCTTTTAGAGTTTTCATTGAACTATAGAAACTATATATGGAGTTAAAAAACAAAATAGTGGCCAAGCACAATGGCTCATGTCTGTAATCCTAGCATTTTGGGAGGCTGAGTCGGGCAGATAATCTGAGGTCAGGAGTTGAAGACCAGCCTGTCCAACATGGAGAAACCCTGTGTCTACTAAAAATACTAAATTAGCCGGGCGTAGTGGCACATGCCAGTGATCCCAGCTACTCAGGAGGCTGAGGCAGGAGAATCGCTTGAAGCCAGGAGGTGGAGGTTGCGGTGAGCCAAGATTGTGCCATTGCACTCCAGCCTGGGAAACAAGTCAAAAACTCCATCTCAAAAAAAAAAAAAAAAAAAAAAAAAAAAAACGCCCTATGTTTAAATGGCTCAAAGAAAAGACTATAAATGGAACTGAACATGTTTCTTAGCCTGGTAATTTTTCCCAGCTGTTTGAGCATTTTATATTGGTAATTTTATTTTATTTTATCTCACTGTCACCCAGGCTGGAATGCAGTAGCACAGTCATGGTTCACTGCAGCCTCAACCTCCTGAACTCAAGCAATCCTCCTGCCTCAGTGTCCCCAGTAGGTGGGACTACAGGTACACACCACCACACCTGGCTGATTTTTATATTTTTTGTAGAGGCAGGGTTTTTGCCATGTTGCCCAGGCTGGTCTCAAACTCTTAAGCGCCAGCCATCTATCTGCCTTGGCCTCTCAAAGTGCTGGTATTACAAGGATGAGACACCACACTTGACCAATAATTTCTTTCTTTCTTTCTTTCTTTTTTTTTTTTTTTGAGACAGAGTCTTGCTTTGTTGGCCAGGTTGGAGTGCGGTGGTGCAATCTCAGCTCACTGCAACCTCCGCCTCCCGGGTTCAAGCCATTCTTCTGCCTCAGCCTCCTGAGTAGCTGAGATTGTTACACTGGCACCCACCACCATGCCCAGCTAATTTTTGTATTTTTAGTACAGACAGGGTTTCACCATGTTGGTCAGGCTGGTCTTGAACTCCTGACCCCGTGATCCGCCCACCTTGGCCTCCCAAGTCCTAGGATTACAGGCGTTAGCCACTGCGCCCAGCCTGCCAGTAATTTCTTAATCCTACCTCCCTGCTTCTATTGCCTAGCGCATACATTTGAGGCTTCCATGGAGCTTTCTATGGTACTGAGGGATTTGGAGTGAACTGTGGATTTGGAGTGAACTATATCCAACTTTTCTAAGGTGGCTGGGGAAAATTCTTGTACAGCAAGTCAGGACAAAAGCCATATAGACATTAGGTAGAAAAACTGGGATATTAGAGGAAATACATGATTTCCATTTAAGGAAATGGAATGCCACATGTTTGCAAAATGTATTTCTCCTTATCACCTTCTTGACATCTGAATATTAAAAGCAGTTGTTAATTTCATATAATAAATTGAGATAGATCATTACTCTTGTAATAAATAATTCCTTTGCTAAATGTTATTTGTAAACTTTGATGGAGAAAGCGACTCTTAAGAGAACAAAGATCAGCCTGAGCAACATGGCAAAACCCTGTCTGCAAAAAATACAAAAATTAGCCAGGCCTAGTGGCACGTGTCTGTAGTCCCACCTATTCAGGAGGCTGAGATGGGAGGATTGCTTGAGCCCAGAAGGTAGAGGTTGCAGTGAGCTGAGATCATGCCACTGCACTTCAGCCTAGACGACAGACTGGACTCTGTCTCAAAAAAAAAAAAAAAAAAGAGCCACAAAATATACCTTTTGGTAAGACAGTAAATGTTATATGTTTTTTAACACAATAAAACCTGTATACACACATATAATATACCTTTGGGATTTTTAGGATTTTTTTTCCTGGACTCTGAAATGAGAATCCTCACTGAAAATCTGTTTTGGAGAATTCCAATTTGTCAGTCAGTCTCTTGTATAATTAGTACATGTGGCTTCCTGTTTTGTTTTAAATATTCTTCAGTTCTTCTCACTTTACAAAGATATATATTTTTTGTCCTAAGAAGGACAGAGCAATTAGTTTTTACCAGATAAGCCTTGAGTATTATGTCTAAGAAACATTCCGTGTATGTTTAAATTGTAATTATTTCCCAAAAGCTGAGAAAAGTGTTGCAATACAGTGAGCATTTGACGTCTGCACTGAGAACAGCTGAGTTATTTGTGCCATGCAGAAATTCTTAACTGTGGGCTGGGTGCAGTGGCTCATGCCTGTAATACCAGCACTTTGGGAGGCTGAGGCAGGCTGATCACATCACCTGAGGTCAGGAGTTTGAGACCAGCCTGGCCAACATGGCAAAACTCTGTCTCTACTAAATATACAAAAATTAGCTGGGCGTGGTGGCGGACGCCTGTAATTCTAGCTACTCGGGAGGCTGTGACAGGAGAATCACTTGAACCTGGGCAGTGGAGGTTGCAGTAAGCCGAGACCGTGCCATTGTACTCCAGCCTGGGCAACAAGAGTGAAACTCTGTCTCAAAGCAAAGAAGAAAAAAAAAAAAATTCTTAACTGTAAATAGAATGTGGGGAAAGTGTTATGTGTGTCAGTAGGAATGCAGTAAGAAGACTGGCCAACATGGTGAAACCCCGTCTCTACTAAAAATACAAAAAATTAGCTGGGCATGGTGGCGCATGCCTGTAATCCCAGCGACTCAGGAGGCTGAGGCAGGAGAATTGCCTGGACCCAGGAGGCGGAGGTTGTGGTGAGCCGAGATCGTGCCATTGCACTCCAGCCTGGTTAACAAGAGCGAAACTCCGTCTCAAAAAAAAAAAAGAAGATTGGAGTAAGACAGGATGGGGTTACATGTATATAAATGAATTAAATAAGTACTGCT